TATATATGAATTTATGATCCAGTTTGTTTAGGTGTGTGACCCTGTAGGATCATATAAAATTAGTAATGAATTCATAATTCATAGATTATAAGCGGTTTCTAGCAAAACATTATAACCACATAATCTTATACGATTGTCAAATCTCGACGCTACGACTTCTACTAGAGTAAGTACAAATGATTTTAGGACATTCCCAACACACGGACCCAACAGAAACTTACATAATTACAACCCAACCAGGGTCATTTTGCGGACCATCCAGACCCGATCCATAAAATTCGGATCTATTTCTCCATAACTTCTGAAACCTTTGTAAGACTTAGTGTAATCGTAAACTTTGGTGTAACTGTGTAGCGTAATAAAACCTGAACAAATAAATACTGTCTCAGTTACAAAGTTATGCTAAATTGAACTAAATCGCACATTTAGGAGTACTCCACATTTAGATTACAATTTATTATTACGTTATTGTTCGGCCACATGTATTGTTATTGATATATTTATTGAAGTTCAAATAAAAAAAATTAGTTTGAAGAAGAAATCGAGAGGAATTACATAATGTTCATAGATAAAACTAAAGAAATAACAGAGCATATTGTGAAGAGTAATTTACATAACAACTTAGTAAAACTAGATAAAACGTCTATGTCATAAACACCCAACTAATCTTCAATGGGCCATGCACGAGCAGTCAAGTGTATGGCATAGCAGAACTCCCAAGCTGCACAATTCCAGAAACAATGATCGCATTTCCACCGTAATCTTGATCCATCTAGGGAGACTACAAACATTGGAGGGTCTAGGTTGGAGCACCAGCAAGAATGTGGCACATTAGGATCTATCCTTTCAGTCACAGATATAAACGTGGGAGATTTTTCGTAATCCCAATTGTGTCCAATTTCCCAACCAGTGATGATTTGAAACATCTCGTCAACATGTTGACGAGTAAAAGCAGGGTAGTTGTGAACAATTCCTCTACCATCAACGCTAAAGGCTAAGTTCATCATAACATCTACAAATTGTGCCAACACGCACCCTCTCTCACCAGCACGATGTATTTTTTTCTCTTCCTTCATCAAGTAACTGGAGGAAGAAGTACTCGTACATACCTCTCAGGTAGATTGCCTCAGGATTATCCAAACAGTAGCATTTAACCTTGAAAGCTCGAATAGCATTGACCTCGTTTGCCCAGTCATTGAAGAAAATGAGATCAGCCGATCTATAGAAGTGATCATCTCTTCCCACTTCATTGAACCCGGGAAAAGCAATCCTTGCACAACCAAAGTTCCGGATACCGGTCATTAATACTTTACAGAGAATCTTATGAAGCATTGAAGGAGGGAGAGAAGTCAAGTTCACTTTGTCCATGTCTAACTCGAGTGTATAACTGAGAATTATGTCTAACTCTGATAAAAGAAAACGGTTAATGGTGAGAGAAATGAGAAATCACAAGTTTGTAGAAGTGATAAACCCTTAAAAATTAATGAACCACTGTGTCTATTTAAGTGTGATTTGATGGACTCCTCGAGAAGACACGACTTCTCTCACACGCCTTCTGAATATCTACACTCGCACCTCTTGGAACTGTAACTTTGTATAAGATATATAACTATATATAAAGTAAGTGAAACTAAGATATATAACTATATAAGTAAGTGAAAGTAGTTGAGTTAGATTGTTATGAAACTAAGAAAAAAATCAAAATTTAGATTGCATAAATTTTTTGAAACTATGTAAAACATAGGTATAGGATATATTAAATGAAAATGGTAATATTAAGGTTAAAGAAAAACCTGTAATTATGGAGTTGGGTGATTTGATGGACTTCTCGAAAGAACACGACTTCTCTCATGAAAATGTCTAGTTTCGAAGTCTCTCTTATAATCATTACACTTGCATTTAAACGCCACAACACTACACCATCATTAAGTAGTAGATCATCATAACCATTGCATTTAAACTCCACTTCGAACCCCGAGAAAGCATAACCACTCCAACTTATCTTACACGCTTTCTGACTGCAACAATCGCCTCTCCTGAAATTTAAGATATATAAATATGTAAACGTAAGTGAAACTCGGGGAGATCACGGGCTAGATTAATGAAACTAAGAAAAACGTAACAATTTAGATTGTATGAAAATTGAAACTATACAAAACTTAACGAAATTTTTGATATTATATCGTTTTATTTTTCAAAAGATGGTCAGTTTCCAAAATGGATAATAGTTAGTGAATATATTTAGAGTCCATATATTTAGTGATAGCAACTAAGTGTAGGAGATAATAAATGAAAAGGATAATATTAATTTTGAGAAAAAGCCTCGTCGAAAGAACACGAATTCTCTTGTGAAAAAGCCTCTTTTATACGCCACATCTCTTGAAATTCTCTATCTCTTGCATTTATAAGAATTCTGCATTTAAACACTCACCGTTACGAAATCTCCTCTCTCATCTCTTCTCTCATCTCTGCGAATACTCCATCTCTTCTCTCATCTCTCAACAAAGAAGATGGCAGAGTACAATAAGCTTTCCCAGGTTACTTTTAACCCCATGATCAGGGCTTGGCGTTTCAGAGTGCAACTACACAAGATCTACCCTTACGCGATTACCAACCATGGGACTTACTATAAGTATATCCTCGCAGATGAAGATGTAAGTGTTATATCATCATCTCTCAAGTGTGTAATAAACATGTAACCGAGAGAAATAAAAACTTGATCCTTGTAACATGTAATAAACATGATCTTTGTACTTTATTTATGTAGGGATACAAGATGGAGATGACCACTGGTGGGGATTATCCAAATTTTAGAGGCCTTGAGAAGGAAGAGGGAAGATGGGTGGAAATCTTTGTGGTAGAAGTTGAACGGACCTACCCAGGTTTCCAGCCAACTAGCTCTCCGTTCAGACTAAATGCTACGCGTTGTATGCATGTCCGCATCATCGAACCTCTGAACAGTCATCTTTTCTTGGACTTCAAAAGCATCCATGAAATCCCTCGCATGCACTGGCGTGACCTCATATATCCCATAGGTATGTTGGTAATCTCAACAGTCGCATATCTTGGTTTCAGAACTTTGTATAACTCTGTAGATGTAAGTGAAACTAAGTGAAACGAACTGATTTAGTTGAGTAACACTTATATGGTAGATACAATGGAAGTCGTCTTCAACACGGAAGCCTATCTCGATGCCCCTTCAGGACCAAGGATGGAGTTTTACATAAGGGACAACATGTGAGTATAAAGTAACATATGATCCAAGCAAAATTTATGTATATATATATTGTAACTGACCCACTTTTACTTTATTCTGAATAGTGACCATCAGATAAAATGTGTGGTGACCGGCAATCGGACCTATGCCTTCCGGGATGGTCTTGATTACATGAGTGGTGGGGTCGTAGACAGGTGATTGTGGCCCTTAAGATGTGGAGAGTCTGGAAATTTATCCGTAAGTGTTGTTTCTGTGACTAGTTTTAAATCTGATAGTTGAGTAGAACTTTTACTAAAATGACTTATACAAGTTATTTTGGTCCTCCTGAAATATGGCTTGAGACTGAAGGTGGATTTGCGGACTTCAGGTTCAATCCGCGTTTGCCTGAGGTTGAGGAATTCAGGCAGTCTCTACTAAACAGCGACCCTTATGTTCAGAAATATGGGGTTGAAGGTCTCGTGTAAATGTTTAATGTCGGATTCAACTTTGTTTAAATGTCGATAAAACTATGTGTTAATGTTGGTGAAACTATCTCTATTGTTATATTTTTGATCTCTCTATTTTCCAACTTTATAGTTTCACTTAATCAATTGTTCAACTTTCTAAACTTAAGACAAAGTTGAATTTCGTTGGTTAACACAAACTTAAGACGAACTTCAATTGTTCAACTTTCTAAACTTAAGACAAACTTTATAGTTTCACTTAATGTTGACAGAAAAGTTTTGCAGGAATCACTTATTGTACATCATAATTCCTAGAACTAAAACGATTGTAAGAAGAACACAACCTCTAGATATCTTGGAACTCGTCATCGGACCTTCACTCCTTGTTGTTGCTTTGAGAAGTTTAACTTCTTCTTCGAGCATTCTAACTTGGCAATCCAACTGTTGTATCTCATCGGTGAAAGCTTCATCAACCCATTTGAAAACGTGATTATCGTTCTCAAGCTACGACATGGATATTTTCAAAACGAGTAAGCGTAATTCGTAAGCATAATTTGTAAGCTTTCGAGAGTAAGTAAAAGGTAAACGGATAATACCCTTAGTGAAGCCGCATAGAGACACCGATAATACATGCGAAATGGGTTTGGTTTGCTTTTCGAGATGAGCTCGGTGATTCCCACCCCGCACCATCACTTAATAGGTATTCCCGGAGTTCGTACTCGTGTCTGACCACGGGTCGTGGAAGATGAAGCGGTGGACATCTCGATTTATCTGTGAGTTCGAGGAGAGCAATGAGAGAGAGAGAGAGAGATAATGATTTGAGAGAGAGAAAATGGAAGATAACAAATGGAGGAAAACCCAAAAATATGTCTTTAATACTTCGATTAAACGATCTTGTGGTTTTAGAAAATTGGGAAGAAGGAAATTCGAAATTCGAAAAGCTGGGCGGGAAAATTTATCCTAGCGATTTTCGCAGTAAGTTTCACCAAGTTTTCAGTTTTACGAAAACATCAAAGTTGCACTTTTTAATTATTTCCATTTATCTTGGTTATACTCTACTTGAATCACTGATTTTTTGGTTACACCAATTAAATTATGTTTCCTAGATTCATTTCTCAGACGATCATATACACATAAACTTGATTTCGTGCCATACGAAGTTTTCAAATCTAACGAGGTCAGTTTTTGCCAAAAGGCTACAATAACACAGTTTATTTCCTATATGACCAAGCAATTAGATGTAGTTTTAATATTTCTGATCAAATCATAATTAACGTAACATTAATAATAAATAACCATATCATTACTTCAGTGACTTATTAAATTGACAAGTTGAGAGTTTACAAACGTATTACCCAATTTTCTCATTGTAGTTATACCAGTAACGAAAACAACAAGTTTCACTTAGTTATACAATACACAAATACAAATTATTACACCAACCGAAACGGTAACGAGAACAACAAGTTTCACTCGGTTTTCGTGTTTGGGTCAGGGAAAAAAAATCATTTTCGCACGAAGGAGAAAAAAAAGAGAGAGCTCTCGAGGGAAGGCGATTTGAGGCGATTGAAACAACAAATCGAACATGTAAGATTGTTTCCATTTCAATTTGGGTGTTGTTTACCTTTAGTTTTACCGTTTGGTTTTGTGTTTTCAACGATTTCAGGAAATTTTGGTTTCAAATTAGGGTTTCAAAAATTGGGGATTTCAGTCGATTTGTTGTTTCAATCGATTGGGGGATAGTAAAACCGAACATGTAAGATTTTTTCCATTTCAATTTGGATTTCAATCGATTGGGGATAGTAAAACCGAACATTTATGATTGTTTCCATTTTGTTTCTTGTTTGCAGATGGCGAATCAGCATGAGCCTCACTTCTTGAAGCCTCTGCTTCCTGGTTTCTTCAGTGGCGTGGTATACACACGTTCTCTATTTCTCCTCTGTTTATGTCATTTGCTTAACTTCTCCTTTGTTGACTTGTAGGCAATACCACTTGCCTTCTACTCAAAACACATAGAAGGCAAACCGAACCAAGGAAAATAGACACTACGATTGGACGCTTCACACCAAACTTGGGAAGTTATACAAGAAGGAAGAAGACTCACCGATGGTTGGAAAGCCTTAGCCAAAGCACACTCCCTTCGCATTGGTGACATTGTCGTGTTCAAAAAGGAAGGAGACATGGTCTTTCATGTGACTCTCCTTTTGGTCCTAGTTTTACTGAGATTCAGTATACACCTCCTCAAGGGGATGATGCTGCGGATGGTGCTCCTTCTTTCTCATTTGACTATTGTTTTGTTGCTTAGGTCACTCCATCAAATCTCTCTGAAGACAAACTTTTGAGTAGTTTACTTTATGTGTCTGAATTTAAAATCTTCGTGAAGATACACTTGTGATCTGTTATGTGTCTTTATCTTCTTTGTTTGCAGCATCTTCCTGTGGAGGCTACGCGGTGTACTGCTCTAAACAAGCGATGCCAAGAAGCGAAACTGGTGAAAAAAGAGGGAAAGTCATGGTCAGTCAGTTTGCGATTTTATGAAGCAGGCTACATGTTTTACATCGGAATAGGCTAGAGAAGGTTTTGTGTTGATAACAGAAGCACCGTAGGAGACTTATTTGTCTTCAATGTGGTTGGAGATGGGGAAACTTCTCCATTGCTGTGTGTATGTCCGGAAAGGAAAGAGTGTACTGACTTACTAACCAACTACTTGAGCAGCAAGAATGGTGCCTCAACTTCCTCGTCTCTTCCTAAATGATGCATGTTTGTCTTGTTATTGTCTTATTGTATAATCTTCTTGTAGTGGACTTGTAATGGATGATACATCTTCATCATCCAAAATATATGATTGCCTCTTAGGTTCCACTACCAATGGGAGGTAACCCAAACTGAGCCTCTTCATAAACGGATATATTCCCATCTTTCTGCAGATCTTCTCCTTCAACATCGAATAAGTTATCTCCTCCAAGGATGATGTCTTAAAGGATATAGCATACAAACGACCATCGGTTGGAATCCATTCATAATCATCTCCATCCTTCGAATAATGTCCATCATAATCAAAGTGTATGTTCGTCGAAAAAGGACTCATTGTCTGCAATATAAAAAAAAATTAAACCCCTAAAGTTATACTTGGTTATACAGTTATACCATCAAAGTTATACTTCGTTACACCATGTTACACAGTTGTGTCAGTAGTCAATTAGTAATCGGCCAATGTCTAATTTTTTTGATTGAATCGTCCTTTCATTCCTGACATTCAATCATACAGTTGTTGATTATTTGTTGATTATCCAATTGAGTAATAAACAGACCACCCACACTTTCATTCCTTTTTGATCTTCGATTAGTGAATAAGAAATTTCCAGTTACAATGACTCGAGTCTTTTAAACAGCTTTGATTCCCGACATTCAATTATACGGTTATTGATTATCGAATTCCTTAATAAGTAGACCATTCAAACTTTCTGATCTTCCTCAATTAGTTCATACACAAATACAAAATCTTCTATCTAATCGGAATCCCTGTGACGATTTGAGATACATACCCTGTTACACGGAATCAAAAGCAACGAGATCGCAATAACATGCAAGGAAGAACAAGGGAATGTTCTGAGAAGACTGGACTCGACTAATACTCCAGAAGAAGAACTCCTCGACGACGGCTCGATGAATATCGATCAATTTAGAATAATTTGGAGAGAGATAATTTTGAATTATTCATTAAACAGTTCATTAAATCTGTCATGGGCATTTTCGACATTAACCACCACCCTTGAGAGTATCAAAATAAATAAGAGTACTTCAGATTTTGTGAGAGTATGTTAGATCACTTTTTGCTTCATTAAGAGCATCTAAGGTTTTCTCTCCTTACCGTTGGGCTTTACGTTCTTACATGAGTTCGGGGAGTCTATGTAGTTAGTGTCACGTGCGGTGACGTGGAACTCTGTCAAAAAGTTCATGACTATTGGACTCTAGTCACTAGGAGATGGTTCTCGCCTAGCTCGTCCTTTTGTAAATAAAACTAATCTTATTTTCAAATGATTTATTACATTTTTATTTTTTTAGTTTAGTAATTTAACTTTTTAACTAAAAATAAACACTTAACTAAACCTCATACAAAACAAATTTTTAATTTTGGTTTTATTAACATCTATTACCCTTCGTCTAAAATACCATGACAAATGATGACATATATTAACAGTTTATAAGTTGTAGGTTTACAATATTGAAAACTTACATGGGCTTGGACCTGCTTAATTAGATGTCGAAAATGGGTCTAACATTTGTCCCCCAATCTTTTTCTTTTATTGAAAAATAAAAATGGTCCATTCGGACTCAATTGGCGAGAGGTGGTTCAGTTTCTGCGATGACAGGAATCTGACACGTGCCTCCTTCCCGTCTATGGACCGTTGGCATGTATCTCTTATTCCTAACGGCTATTTGCGCCACATTCGAAGTGAAACCTAATAATTTTCTTCTCGTTTTTAATGATAGAGCTTTTTTTGATGTCGGCGAATGTCCTTTAAATACTTGAGGTTCTTCTTTCTTTCCTAAATCTTTCTTTTTCTTTCAAATTCTTACTTGTACGATTTTCGATTTCTCTTTAAGAAAAGATGGATACATCGTTTTCGTTTCCTCTTCCAACAACCACTTCTGATCATCTTGAGGCTTTGTACACGACATATGGTGTTGATCGGGGCGTCAAGCTTGAGCTAGCCACCACGATTTAGACCCTGAAACGGTTCGTGACGGGTTTTGCGGAGCGTATCTCTCGTTCTTCAAATCTTGCGGTCTTTTCTTCCTGATTCCTGGACCAATCCTTGAAATCGTAGCTGAATTGGGTATATCTCTCACCCAGATGTGCCCAAACTTCTTGAGGCACCTCTTGGCCCTCGTGGTTAGAGCTCACGAAGAAGGTTTGCGATTTGGTTTAGAGGAGCTGTGTCACTTGTGCTTGCTGAAGCGGAAAAATCAGAGTCCGGGGACTTTTTTTTATGTCGCCGCGCGTAGGACGCCATGTT